GATTCTATGATTCTATGATTCTATGAAGTACCCTCTCCTCACATGGCAATTTATCCTGGTTCAGTTTGAGACATATAAGCTCTTGTACACCCTCTGCTGTCAAGTTGGAACAAAAACAAAAGAAAAGAACCTGTATCACTTCAGAACTGGAGAATGTTGAGGGCTAAAGTGGGAACTAGGAAAAACAGCAGAGAGGAGGACGGCTGGGAACTACAGTAAGAAAGGTGCATTCCTGTAGGCCTTTTCCTTTAACTGTTTTGACTGACCAAGTTTCCCAGCTCCACCCCACAAAGCGAATGGTTGGGACCAGGAGCTCATCTATCACCCAGGTTCCACTGCATTGTCTCGTCGTCATGACTCCTAACAATCTCACCCACTCATGTCAGTTTCTCAGGGATGCTGTGTAGAAATGGGCCTGAATCCAAAACCCCATATCCAAAAAGTTCAGCTCTGGATCTTGATCTACATTTTGTGTCATCTGCTGCTGATCCCCGGCAGTAGTTAACACAGGGGTGTGCGTATATTTCTTATCCTTGGTGTGTCTTTGTCTCTTTTCCCCGCTCTGTTTTAGTTAATTTTGCAGTAGTAAATTCTTATGGTTACATCATTTGATATAGTCTTTCCAAAATTAGCTGGGCAACTTTCAGTATTCTGATCTAGTTACTGCCCTTGTGTCAGGTGGGTCACCACAGTCATCCTCCTTTGTTGTGCACAAGATAATGCACTAATGAAGTTCCTAGTAAATAGTCTCTTTATGCTTGAGGCAGAAATGTTACGGGGAAGGATAGGAGGAACTGGATGTCCCAGGGGGTTGGTAATAGGCTCTATTAGCCTTTTAGTTGTAGCTCATCAGTTCTAAACCAGATCAGGTTTGCAGTAATTGAAAGTCATTACTATCTGCTGTAGTGAACCGAGCTGACCTCAGTCCTGGTGCTAACAGACTTGGTTTACACTCGCCAATGGGCACCCAGTCTCAGAAGAGAGACCAAAGAACAATTGAACATGGGAGGACTGAACTATCGTTATTCCTAAAAGAGGCCTCACTAAGTAGGGTTAAAAGTGCATTGACTTGTTTGCTATACATGTTCTGTGGCAAGAGGATTTCAGTCTCCAGAACTGTCATGCTGGAATTTCTCACAAGCACTAAGGCTCAGATCCTCAAAGGTATTTAGGCTCCTAAGATCCATTGAAATCAGTGGAAGTTGGGAGTCTAAATACTTTTCAGGATCTGGGCCTAAATTAACTTTTTAAAAGCAGTTTCCTGGGGGGATGGCTTGGGCTGGGGGTGTTTGTACAGAAGCCCCTCTACCAAATTGTCAAAGATTGATGTTAACATCACGTAGAAAAATAGCTCATGGCCAATTTTCCAGCCATAGAAACCAGGAGAAAGGTTTATGGAGGGAAAGGAGGACCAGAATGTGAAGAAGTTGGATGCGAGGAGAGACCAGAATGAATTCACATAAGGGGATTAACCCAGCAGACATCCTAAACTCCTTAGTTCTTGGAGTTCTCTGAGCCTATATTCTCAACTTTCTAAGAGGAGGGGAGGTTTATGTGTCAGGCATGAATCTGATTGTGCAGACAATTAAGAACATCAGAAACTGTTACTTACTTAATACAGTCAGAGTGTAGGCTTGATTGAAATTTCCATCGCTGGTTGAAGTTTCACAGCTATAACATCCCTCATCTGTGAGTGTCACTTGCCGTATCTGAAGTGCACTATCAGTTTCAGGACTATATTTCCAATCCATTCTCTCACTGCAGTTTGTTCTGTTTGTCTTGTTCAGATCACGTCTGTATCCCAGTATGCAGTGATTTCCAGTCCTTGGTCTTATCTTCCATATTACTGCTACCAGATTCACCATTGAAACGTTACTACAGTTCAGATTAATGCTGGAACCAGCTATTTTAGATACTCTGGCATCTAGAAAAGATGCAGGAAGAGAAGGACACTTGAAAAGGTCACATTATAACCTTGGATCTCTGGGATAACATCTCTAGTATTATATAATATTCCATAGTAAGATCCCACCTCTGCAGGTACTAGACCCATCTTCTTGGATCCATAGCTTTTTGCCACCAGTCCATAGGATTAACCTCTCTGCTCCCATACTCCGTAGAACCTGCTCCCTACTGCAATCACTGCCAAGTTTCAGTATAAAGATGTTATTGCAGAGTGGAGATGCAGGGCATAGCCATACTGGAGGAGCTCCTGGGGTAACTTTCTTTTTTTCTTCTTGCTTTGGCAGCAATTGTGAGGCAAATGAATGATGGGGAGGAGTAACATTAGCAGTGTGCCTGTTCTGTACTGCCCTTGACGTAAGCACAAATCAGGAGAAGTTAGACATTTCTGAGCCACTTCCTGCTGCTCCATCCACAATGGGAGTTAAGCTACCACCTTGGAAAAGCTGGAACTCAGCAGAATTAGAAAATTCTTGCAGGAGCTGTATGCTAAGGATTGGTCTACACGTAAAACTATACCAGGGTAGCTGTGTCAGATAGGGGTGTGATTATTTTTTACCAATATAGCTATGCCAGTGTAAGCCCTAGTGTAGATGCAGTTATCCTGGAAAAACAGTCCAACTTTGAAAATAGTTTCTATTCAACATATCTTTCCTCCTCTACCCTCCCAAGGCCAAATTGTGCCCTGCTACACTTGAGTAAATCTGAATTAGGTCCTTTGATTTTAGTGGCGTTATGCCAGATTTACATTGATGTTATTGAAAACCAAATTTGAATGTTTGTATTTGGTATTTATCTGGTCACGTCTCTGACAAGAACGAGTTTCTACTCCTGTTAGGCCTGCAAAGCCCATACAGACACAGGAGAGCGAGCTGGGGTCTATTCTGCCTCACTGAGCATTGACAAAACTCTCAGTCAAGTTTCAGTGAAATAGTCTTTACTATCGATGGTGGAGGAAGCGGAACAAAGAACCCAGCTGCATTTTCAGATTCCAGGTGAAATTTGTGGAGCTGGCAGTTAGAAAAATCCTATGACTGCTAAGCTGAGCAAATTTGTCCTGAGATTGCTGAGAACAAATAGGGAACTCCCCTCCCCCCAGCTCCTTTTATGAAGTCCAGTACAACTTATTTTCATGGCTGAATCATCAGCATCACCAAGTAACATCAAATGTATTAGACTATAAATATTATGTCCACATAAGTCTATCACAGAAACGTCAACACTGATTAAAAGGACAATTTCAGCCTATTTTGGTCCCTAGAATTACTTTTCTGGATGCATTTACTGCATTACAGAAGATGAAACTTTTATTCTGGGTCCTCAGTGAGTGACACAATATTTAGGTCTTATCTAATCTACATTTTTTCTTGGGAAATTTCTTACTATTGCCAGTAGTGACATGGTGTGAGCACTAGTGCAGATAGGCCATAGGCATATTTTTGCCACCATGTCATTTAACCCTGGTCAGAACAGGAACAGACAA